ACGGGATACTTTGCGCAAGACGACGAGGACGGAAAACAAAAACCTATTATTCTCTGGAAGTTGCCAACAAAGCATGATGGTCAAAAGTTAGACGAAAGTTACCGTGCCACAACTACACTGATAGGTAGATACTGTTTGCGATGCATGTACCTTCGCCATCGCCATGGCTTGCGGAAAATTACTTACAGTGGAAATTCAATTTATCGTTGACTGTTTAAAACCAGCTGCATGCAACGATCCACCTGCTAACTTAATTCAGTTTAAGTTAAACTTACTCCTAAACACTACGTGCAACATCATAACGAAATTTTACTTGCCCCGGACAATAATGTCAAATATAAACCAAGCTTTCTATACTTTAATTAGTTGATAGATGAATACTGCCCTAATACAGTCGTATTTCACAAATTTATTAAAAAGGAGTATTCAGTAAGAATTTCTAAAAAGTCTTTTTAATGTTTCATTAGCCAAATCAAAAAAATCGAATAGTTTCGAGCTTTTCTATAATAACGTCAAAATATCTCCCCAATCTTCCCGTGTATAGGTAATTATTTTGCATTTTTCCTGTGGGCATACGTTTGTTACAATATCATATGCAGGAGAAATCCCAAGAAAACGTTTAACACAGTGAATATAATATCGAACCCTTAACTCTACAGTCTAAATTGGAAAAGCAGCAGATAATCCTGGGCTAATCCGTCGCGAGCTGAACTATGTACAAGGTATAATAGGTAAATAGGAATCGTTTATTTATTTCTTGTTTGCATTTTATCAAGTGCATGTAATCGACAATGTCCAAAGTAAAATATAAAATCGATTCTCAACCGAGATGAATTTCCGACGAAACGAAATAACCTAAACAAACTGGCCTCCGTTCTGGCAAACTTCTTGCAAACTACTTCCGTTGTTCGGGAAATAAGCTGACAAGAAATTTTTCCATTTATTCGCTTTTTTTATCACGGTAAGCGACCGCCCGTTCGTTTTTGCCCAATGCTTAATGCGGTCAGTGAATAATAATGATACGGAAAGGCGAAAGCTTATTTCGGTAAGTAAACCGTGGAAAGTCATAACTTCAAAAACGATTAATCGTTTTGCAGACTGCTACATATAAAAAACAAAATAAAATTAAATTTTTGATACCTAACGCTGAAACAAACAACCATTTGTCCATAATAAGAGCTTTGGAAGTTGTAGAACACTTAACTCTCGAACTTCCTTTGTTATGCAGGCATGTATGTGTCATTCAAGAATGATTTGTAATGTAAAGGTTGCCTGCTATTGATTATTACAGTCCGCCGTACATGTACAGCGAGCTAATCAAGAGCCGTCGGTAATCGATATATTGATTTCGTCACATGAAAGCTTGTATGTAATAAAATTAAATAGTGTTGCAATAAAATAAATTTGATCGCATTTTAATTGCGGTTTTAAATTTTCCAATCAAGAATTTCATCAAGTTAAGATGGATAATGTTCTGATTCACTTCCGAAACCGTATTATGTATACAAAGAGCGACATTATTTCTGTATTAAATTCAAGCGCATATATTGTACATACATGTGAAAGCTTCCGAGACAAGCAACGAGGGTTCATAACAAAAGGAACCAGTAAATAGCCGGAGGATGGTTAAAATTGATTCTGATTGCCAATACAAGGCGCAGCGGACCGAGCAGTCACGTCGCGATCGGCGCGACGCGACGCCTGGAGCCCGGGGCGTCTTTTGTAGAACAAGGAAGCTTGTATTAAGCCCGCATTTATGTATACATGGACGATGTGTATTCTTATACTTACTGTTACTTACTTCGTCACTTTATTGGAAATTCCATAATGGATAATGGAAACGCCAGAGTCAAAATTTATTACTCAATGCAGCGAACAAACTCAATCAGAAGAACAAAATCAGACATGCTACTTGAACGTGTCCAAATGTGGAGACCATTCTAAGTACAGATTCAACTTCAACAGATTCGCAAATAAAATTAGTTTCCTTATAATTTCAATTGTTTTTCTGGCGATTTGAACCTGTTAATTTTAGTTTTTCTCATAATTTTAGACTCTTGTAGTTTTAGCAAAGTGTAACAAAATTGAGACCCAAATTTGTTAGCCAATATAGGAAAATAAATAAAAAAAGAAGAATACTGATTTGCAAGGGAAGAATAAGTAGGGAAAGAGCGAATATAAAGATAGGAGACGAAAAAGTAGAAGAAGTCAGATAAGTCTGGACGGAAGCAATAGAAGGGATATAAAGCAGAGGATAGCGCAGGGTCGTGTCGCCTTCAATAAAACGAACGGTTAATTTAGAAATTCTAAAAAGGTTGTTAAAGGTGTATGTTTGGAATACGGCGCTGTACGGGTGCGAAGCATGGACGGTGGGCGCGGCGAAAAAGAAAAGGTTAAGTGTTCGAAATGTGATGTTAGAGGCGAATGATGAGGATACCGTGGATAGAGAAGGTTAGAAATAAATAAATATTAGAAAGAATAGGAGAACAGAGGAATCTATGGAAGTCAATAATAAATAAGCGAAATAGGTTAGTAGGACAACTTCTCAGGCATGGAGGTCTAGTCAGAAACAAATTGGGGGCAGAAACGGGAGTTAGGAAGGGTAGAGGTAGACCTAGATTAGATTACTATTCGCAAATAGTCAAAGATGTGGGTTGTTCTAGTTTTAGGGAAATGCGAAGATTAGCGCAGGATAGGAAAGAGTGGAGGTGCGTGTCCAACCAGTCTTAGGACTGACGACCTTATGAAGAAGACTACACTATTAATAAAGGCTGCTAGGTAACTGAAAAATTGCTGTTTTAATTCTTAAAAGGGAAAATTAAAGAATGTTTTCGTTATTTTTTTAGCGTCGCTTATTTTTTCATTTAAATAAATTTTAAAACAACCACATTAAAAAGTGAACACAATTCCTTTTTTTTTTAACAATATTCTTCTTTAATCGTAATTATTACCTGTTACAATTTAAAAGGAACAACCTCGACTAAACTACTGTTTTACATGCACAAGGAGCACATTATATCAATTTGCTGTTCACTTTACGCAGTCGTTTCTCTTGTTCATTAATTAACGATGATTTACTAACTCCTCAGCTTATAATAATACTTTTCCATTAGAGTAATTGCTGAAACGTTCGCTTAATAATTCACTAACGACGAGTACGCTGAAGTCTATCTACAAGCACACTAGTACTCATCTATCGTCAACCGTTTTAATTTTTTATTGAATACAAATACTTATCGCAAACTATAATTCTTCGGTCGACGCAACAACTCTGAACATAATAAATAATAAATGCGTTCATTTTCATAATGTAGTCTGTATCAAGAAAATTTAAGTATCGTGCAGGAGTTGAAAGGACTTAACAATAAACGCAGAAAAATAACAAAATTAAATTAAGAATTGAAAGATGCAAATGATTTTGAATGTTCGGTTATAGTTTAGGATAGTTTTTAGAGAAACAAGAGATTCGCAGTTAAAAAAATGTAACAGAAACAAAAAATATCGACAAAGAAACGGGCAATTTTTATATTCGGTGAATTTTTTGACTTATATATATCTTTAAAGTGCTTTCTCAACTCGAACGCTACTTAGATTGCCCGGCATCTCTCCAAGTGGCTGTCCAGTGAACTACAAGCTTTAAGGTTTCCAGGTTTATTGTAAAATGGAGCTATTCCGACCCTAGTCGAGGGGGTTGTTGATCAACTAGGGTTCGGTAACAACCCCCTCCTAGATCCTAAGCGCCCTAATATTTAAGAAAAATATTCTAAACATTAGTACTTAGATATATTACATAGGATTTGTAGATTTACAAAAAGCTTTTGACAATGTTAAATGGGATAAGATGTTAGATAAAGTTCAAAATTTGGGATGAGTTAGAAAGATAGACGAGTGATACTTAATTTGTATAAAGAGCAACAGGCAGTTATAGAGCTGGGGCTGTAACGTAGAGAGGTAAATATTAGGAAGGGAGTCAGACAGGGGTGCACACTGTCACCGCTACATTTTAATCTGTACATCCAAGACGCGATCAACATCATTAAAGACAGTACAACTGTAAGGATAGATATAGAGGGGTAAAAGATTAGTATGCTTGGATTTGCAGATGATATAACAGTATTAGCATCTAGCAAGGAGGAGTTAAAGATAGCTTTTAATAAAATGGATGTGGTACTGACAAAACAGTATTGTATCAAAATAAATAAAAGTAAAAATATGGAAAGAACGAATCTAGGAAGTCAGATCAGTCAGAAATATAAAGCAGAGGATAGCGCAAGGTCGTGTTGCCTTCAATAAAAAGAACTCTAGTGTATGCTGGCGAACGGTTAATTTAGAAATTTGAAAAAGGTTTTTTAAGGTATATGTTTGGAGCGCGACGCTATACGGGTGCGAAACATGGACAGTGGGCGCGACGGAAAAGAAGAGGTTAAAAGCGTTCGAAATGTGGTGTTACAGGCGAATGATCAGGATACCGTGGATAGAGAATGTTAGAAAAGAGGTTTTAGAAAGAATCAGTGAACAGAGGACTCTATAGAAATCAATAAGAAATAGGCGATATAGGTTAGTAGGACACCTTCTCAGGCATGAAGGTCTAGTCAGAGACATATTAGAAGCAGAAACGGGAGTTAGGAGGGGTAGAAGTAGACGTAGATTAGATTACTGTTCGCAAATGGTTAAGGATGTGGGTTGTTCTAGTTTAGGAAAAATGCGAAGGTTAGCTCAGGATAGGAAAGAGTGGAGGTACGTGTCCAACCAGTCTTAGAACTGACGACCTTATGATGAAGAATACTCCTGAAGATGCCCTAAGAAGGCGAAATGTACGTCAAGTTCGTAAAAAGTTTAGTGAAATTTCTCCTTTCTCATTATTATAAAAGTTGTCAGAAGTATACCTACACTTCATGAAGGTAGTTTAAGCTGCCCTGGTTGTTTAATTATAAAATTAATATTAAATCGATCGTTGTCGTCCCGTAAATAGAAAAATGGAAAATGGAATGAAAACTTACCGGTGACGGGCGCCTCGATGTCTATCATCGTCTTTTCTGCGCGTAAAAGTGCGGCGCCTTCATTGATGATGCGCAACGCAGCCGTTTCGTCTATCCGTCCTTCGAGAATGAAGTGTTGCTTCAAAACGTCCGGACGCGGTTTCGCACTTTTCGGATCGAACACTTCGGCCACCGATAACTTATGACTTGGCGGAAACGGAACAGCTGTAACAATATTGAAAAACAATAGAATTACGAACACACACAGTGAACAGTGAAAAAGGACAATACATTTTCAATTTATAAGGAGAAAAAAAACTGTAAGCGCATTCAAGCAGTGGCGTAGGAAGAGTGTTTGAGGGTTCAACCCCTCACCCTCATACGCTAGGATTTTTTTTAATTATTTTGTAAAATTAGTTTTATTATTATCATTAAGAAATAAGCGTATTAGTTCTATAACCATTCTTAAACACTATGAAATGCCATTGTTAGCAGTAAATATCTATAGGTGGCTACATATGTATGAAATCAGTCATTGAATACAATTCCTAGGAAATCTATATAATTCCTAAAATCGGTCGGAAATGTGTGAAATAAATTCTATTAGACACATTTCCTAGGAAATCTATAAATTTCCTAAATAACAATTGGAAACATATTACAAGTAATACTAAATAGGCAATAATACAGCAGGCTGTTTGGAGATCTACCTATATCCATGGGTGACGACATTGTTTGGTTAGAGAGATTTATGACAGACTGGAATGTCTTTAGTACCCTTGCCCAGGGCTGATATGTTAGATGTTAAAATAATGTGACGAAATTATCTTTGTTTCAGCAAACACGATGATTAAATTTTCAGTATGTTGTAGAAGTGATAATGCTAATCATTTTCATATATATATGTTGGGCGCGGAGATCATAACGAAGCATAGTTTTCGAAGAGATTATTCCGACATATCAGCCCGCCTTCGGCAGGCAGGGGCATTAAAGAAACTCCAGTCTGCCATAAATCTACCTAACCTAACCATACAATAACGTCACTAATACATATACATCTCCAAACCTAACCTAACCAAACAATAACGTCATCAATGCATATTCATTAAGCGATCGCACTGGAACCGCGTAAACACAGATAACTCTGATTCTCAGTTTACATACGTGTTTTATTCATTTAATTCACAGAAAGCATTAGTTTTATCATTTCCTAGTACAATATAGGAATTCCATACAATTCCTAGAAAATGTATACATTACATGTGTGTATTAAAAAATCTTTGAAACATTATTTTACAGATTTCCTAAATAACTACATTTCGTAGGAATTTTATAGAATTCCTAGATTTCATACATTTCCGGTAACATATACAACAAGTTGCATGATATTAACCAATTTCCTTGCATGGAGCAACTTCGATTTGAAGATAATTTATAGAAAATTCCCATAACGTAATGAGAAGCACTACAATAAGTTTGAAATCGCGAAGTATCCTCTGGATAAATTAATGATGAAGAATAAGTTAATCTCTTCTACCAATTAAATTAAAAAATTACACTAAACAAATATTTTTTTTCTAAAACTGTAATACTATAGCTGTTATACTATAGATATTTGACTTCTAACATTTCAGTTAAAATAGATTGATTGATTGAGGTTGGGAAACACAGACAAATATATTTTTTATTGAAGTAAATAACAATTTTAGATTACTTAAAAATAAACAGTAGTAACAGAATGGGAAATTACACTACGTCCAACAAACGTATTACCCACACATGCCATAAACGTTTAATTGGCCAAAATAATTTTAACATGTGCCAAAATGAATTATTTAACGGACCATTTAAATTTATAAAAACCAATGCACGCGCTCTTGAACACCACAAATTTTATGCAAAATTGTGGTCGTAAACGGCTACATGCGTGGGCGTACCAACTATTTGATTAAAAAGGCGCAACTGAGATAGAATTAATTTAGTACTTTTATAATCGAATTTTTATAACTGGGATATTTTTTGTTCCCTTGACATACATATCCAAATTCGAATTTTTCTTTTACCTTACGAATTGCCTGTTTAATTCAACTTTTTACTAATTTTCTTCGGAAAATCAGCCGCAGCGATAATATCAATAGCTCGATGGAAGATAGCAAAAAAGAGATTAGGTTACAGTAGAAAAAGACAACATGAATGAAGTATTTATTTTATCCAATTTACTAAAATTACTCCATTCAATCAAGATTACTCATATCGAGCACTTGACAATATATCGCCATCTACAAATTTTTACCGCTAACGAAAATGAAATATTATAGTTAATAATGAATATCTGCAAATTAAATTATATTTCCAGTTACTTAAAAATTAACTTTACGTTTTCTATTGCTAAGTTCTTGCCCTACGTCAAAACCTATTTGACACAAAGAATACCTCGATTAAATTAATTTAACACACTAATCGCAAGATGCAAAAAAGATCGATTGGAATGAACCAGCCGAAGAGAATACAGTAAAGGCAATATGTATGTAATAGTAATATGTAACCAATTAAACAGTGGCAGGACAATGCAGATAAGTAATTTACTAAACGTGGAATTACTACATTAAATCGATTCAGAAAGCAGCAGTTTGAAAATACATGTATGTATACGATAGCAGTTGTATGTATGTTTCTATGTATACATACAGCGCATGTACATATAGGTATCTTCTTCCGAGCAGTTCATCTAACTGTACCGGCTAACTAATTTCATCCATGTACAATCAAAATGGTACAGGCATTACACCAGGATTATACGGATTGTTGGCCTTAATCCTACAGGATCTCTAATGAACAATTAACCGAAGCAAAACGAGTTTTTCTCAATATGCACTTGCATTTACTCCATAAATTAGAAGACGTTAGTTAACGTAATGAATCTATTAATAGGACGTCTGTCGACTGCTTTTACAAGGAAAACAATTCCCTAATATTTTCCTAACTTCTTCTAACTATTATTACATTTCCCTGTTCATTTTATTCGTTTTAAAATAGAAAATTAATCTAACATTATAAAGATATAAAGAAGTAAAATTTGTACATTTGTAATCTCCGAAACTACTTAGGTATTCGATTTCAAAAACTCTTTCACCAATATTTAGAGTAGACAGGATGGGCATAGGCTGTATATTTTTCCATTAAAATAAAAGACCAATTTTTCGATCCTAACGCTGTCTTAACGGTAATGATCAAGTTTGGTCCAAGATTGTTTTATCATGGTCCGAGATCGGCAACCAATAGTGGACTAAGCAAGGGAAATGCCTGATTTGTCACTTCGGCATGCTTGGTCCACGACTGGACTGGTGTACAATACTAACCCAAGATTGATGCAGGCAATATTGAGCCAAGACTTAATGGACAACCTTAATTCAAGGTTGGGCAGCTAATATTATGCCAAAACATAATGAACAAGATTTTATTATTATCAGTTGATTAGAGTAATCTAAAAGGTTTAAAAAAAAAAAGATTATAGACCTGGGGTACAATTATATGTGAGGAGTTTTTAAAAGCCCAAAAGGGTATATAAAGAAAAGTTATGTATGTGTTTAGATTTTAATTCGCACAGAAAGCATCTATTAATCATTAGAATTCTCTTAATATCAAAAATAGTATTGTGTCCGGCGCATCCACCAAAAATTGAATCGATATTGTTTGTTTTTGAACATGTTCTGTATGTCAAAAAACAATGAAACAGATCCTTCACATGGTTTCTAAATTTCGAGAAAGACAAAGGCACTAGAGAAACCTAAACCAACCGTTACTTTATTCGTAATGTCTCCCTACCATAACCCCATGACATTAAGCAATCAAGCAATAGTTTTTTTCGATTAAAGTTTGGTTATATTAGGATCATAAGGTCATGGTAGGAAAACACAACAACAACGAAGTGACTGTTGTGATAATTTCTTTTATTTCGTTGTCAACTTACCTAAACCAGTAAGGGTTGTTTCAGGTTTTCCTCGTACCCACTTTTTTTGAAGTTAGAAATAATTTCCATACATACACAAATTTCTGTTCAGTAAAGTGATTTTAATCGATTACAATAGTAACACAAATTGATATTTTAAAAATTACAATTCGTTTATTTGTAATATGAATTTAAGAGTTGCTTCGCAGAAGTTTTTCAGTTTGTATAAATGTAAACAACAAAAGCGCCAACCTTATGCATCCAATCACACCAAAACAAGTACTTACAGACAAAAACTGCATTAGATAATATCAATTTTATATTAAAAGAATTAATATAAACTAAAAAAAACCGATTAACACTAAAAGTACCTAAACTAAGTTACAAATACCTGAGTGAGATTTTATATCACTTGTTCGATTGCCATAATAAAAACACAATTATTGCACAATAAGTTTTTCAGTATTAAACAATTTTGCATAAAAATTGAATAATACCTGAAAACTATTAATTTCACATCAAAATTCTAAAAATAAATATAAAAACAATTCGACTGTGAAACGATAATTCCATTTTGATTGTATAACTGTGCAACTAATTGTTTACTTTTACATTATTATTTAATTATCTTATCTACAATATCTTACACACAGAAATACTGAAAACCGCCAAATGTTCCAGCATTTAAATCCATTATAGTTAGCATTTAAAAATTTAAATCCATATATTCATTATTTAAATCCATACGGCCAGTTTTTCAATCCTTATGGTCAATATTTAAAACCATATGGTAGGAATTGAAACAAATACGTCAAAGAATGTTGTAAGGTTTCATCATTTTAAGTGTTTCAGTAAGATAAACTAAGTCATTACAACATTGTATACTTAGCAACACTCAAATGTGAAAAAGAGACTAAATTTGCCGATAAAGTATATCAAAAAATAACTTCAAAATATTTTTTATTGTGTTAGAGTATGTTATATTAGTTCGCGTGTATTTATTTCTAATTGAAACATTGAAATTCCTGATGGTTAATATTAAATATTAATTTGAAAATTAATTCTTAATTTCTTTTCCACTATAAGTTACCTCAAATTAACGAGAATTTTTTTTTGCTGTTGTCACACCCTCGCCGGAAATCGAACCCGAAAGGTGACAACAGCAGCAACCACGTAGCTTAATAGTCAGAGCATTGGTGCGTAAAGTCAAACGTCCCGGGTTCGATTCCCGGCGAAGGTCTGACAGCAGCAACAACAATTTTTCTCATTAATTTGA